AAATAGTAGTTGAAATCCTGGAAAACTAAGAAGTACATGAAACCTGCAAAAACAAATAAAAACCCCAAACTTGATTATGGATAAAATTGAGTTATGTTCTAAACTTGGTTTTTCTTTGAATCAACTGATACTTTGCAGGTCATCCAGCACCCCTGCATACTTCCTCTCCATGATTGTGACAAAAAATGTCACAATGCATTTCCAAAACGCTCCCCTAGAGGATGGCATTGCCACCAATGAGAACTAAAGTTCTCAAAAAGTGCCTTGTAGACAATTCTGGGACAAGTGCTCAGTGTGTTTGGGGGAAAAGGATGTCCTAAAGCTAATTCCATACAGGCTTTGTGGACTGCCGCAGACCAGCGCAGTGGTAGACTGGCAAGGCCGTCCCAGGGATGTGAAACTAGTGCAGGATGGTCAAAGATTCAATGCATAAATGACAGACAGACACATTTCAAGAGTGAAGATCTGAATGTAATTTGCTCAAATCATTACGCATATTTATACATTTTCAAAAGGCATTAGGTCACACAAAATTTATTTTCCCAGCATAACAATGTTTCTTGTTACCTAGGCATAGAATACAATTTTCTAGCTAATGATTTAGAAGTTGCTAAGCATATGTGGTTACAACACATTTCCTGAAACTGATTTTTTACATATATAGAAAAAGTCAGGTAGGTAAGAAAATAGTATAATTACAGACAGGTTGCTAAGTTGCTTCTTATTCAGGAACAATGACTAACTGGTTAATGGTTAAAACTGCTTTGTAGGTAATTCCATCAGGCTTGTTAGTAGGCAACGCTCTTAGCAGCCTTATTTACAAGCAAAGGAGAGGTTTTTTACTGCGGGCTTATTGCCTAGATTGGGCTTACAGCCATTTAGACATTTGCCTGAATTGAATGCCAAAGATTTTCATGATGAAGCCCCTCAGGGACTGCGCCTGTCTTAGGTCGTCAGGAGTCACAGACATGAGGCTGGCCAGTGCCTTCTTTAGTCTGCCCCGGATCTTACCTGTCATTGACTGTCCAGTCCAGCGCACAGGGGAAGGGGGTCTTATTCACAAGGATGTACTATGTGTCTGAGTGAAAACCTCCCTCTTCCCAGTAAGTTCACTGGCGTTCAGCGGCAGAGGCAGCCACAGTGGACTCCAGTGCTGTGTCCTCTACCAGAAGTTCCAGTGTCTATGGTGTCAGCTCCCAGTTAAGAAAGGCCCTGGGGTTTCTCCTATAACTTTTAGAGCAGGGCAGATGCTCCATTATAGCTAAATGTTCTTTTCAGTAAGTAACTGTACCCTGATAATGATAAACTTGCATTAATATGAGGAATTTCCTTATAAACATCTTCATTTAGGGACTATTCTGAAAGTGTGCCTTTGGAAAGCCTTATTTCCAACTGTGGTTCACACTGGGATTGTTTGTGGAATGTAGGACCCCAAGAAAACCGTTCTAATTATAATCCCAACTGAGTTTAAATTTCTGTTTAAAATGTACTTATAACCTAGCTTGTACTCAAAAAGACGTACTGTAAGCATTCATAAAAGGGCATTTTAAAAAAGTGGGAATGAAAGTAAATTTGGCTGTAGAGACACAACACTTTAATCTTTATTCTTAAAAGGGGTGATACACAAAATTAGTTTCTAGAGCCTAATTGTGGTGGTGTGCACTCCAAAACATCTTAAATTTACTTACATTTGGTGGGTGTAATTTAAAAGATGGTGAAAACTCTAGAACAAAAGAATGTATTACTTTGCAGTACGGACAGGTTTTTGGCCTTTTTAAAAAGGTGGTTGTTTTGTCCAGTTATATTGCCTTTTACCTTTTAATATGAAGGTACTCCGCACTTAAACCTCTCTAAACTCATCAGGAAATCCCTTCCTGTTTTATGTTCTTCCGAAACATTCCCATGTGTGCACCAGTATTGTTTTTCAGCCCAAGACAGCCGGAACATGGTGCTCATTATCTTCAAGGCAACTGAAGCAAAGTCAATTAATTCTGAGATTTGGAAATCTCCATCTAGAAAAGTGCACACAGACCACTCCTCTAGTTTTTACCGCTGCCGAAGCCTGATCTGGAGCGGTGGAGCCATCTGCTCCGAAGGGGCCCCTTAAACCTCCCGCCTCGCAAGGAACAGCGCCCGCTGGTCCCGCCCTGCGCTGCAAACTGCGGGTCGATGGGGAGGGGCCCGCCGACATGCTTCCGGGTCGTGTGGGTGGGGAAGTGACCCCGGAACCAAAACCTCTCCCCGTCCGGAAGCAGCTCTCAGATGCAGAGCAAAGGGAGCGCGGATTGGCTGTGTGGCCTCTGCGGCGCAGCGAGCTCCGCTGGGATCCCGACGCCCCTCCGTCTTCTAGGGTAGGTAGACGCGGCTCTTCGCCCGCTGACGGTGCCCACCTTTCGGTTGTTCCCATCCCAGGAACTGACTGCACTTAGGGTAATTAGCCATCAAATAGGATTAACTTCTAAATAAAAAATTTTAATGTCATTTAACCGATTTTGACAATGAAAATCACTTTTGCAAATATTTTCTATAAGTACTGGATTGAAATATATTTAAAGCACATTTAATTAGGCCAGGAATTATATGGAAGAACGTCATCAACTCTGTGCAGTCACTAAAGACAGTGACAGAATAGTCCTAAGGAATCGGAGTCTAAGCTTGGCAGTCTCCTTAATGGCATTTTCTATGCATTAACTTTTGTCTCAGCATTGGCACCTTTCTCTCAAATATAAAATGGTTTGTTAACACAAAACAAGCCAAGTTGTTACTCTAGGTCTGTGTCCTCCATTTGGGACATGAATGTTGTTTCTCACCAGCTGCTTTGAACGGTGCTACTGCCAGCGGAGGAAACTGAGCACCTGCCTGTTAGCTGGCTGAGTAAGGCAGTTCAGCAGTTCTGTAGCTGCCTCTCCTAGCCCAGGAGGCAGGATCGCATGTCTCCGGAGGGGCGCCGGGATTCTCTGTTTAGAATGGCCATAGTAGTGACTTCCACATTTAGTATATCCTTTTTCTGTGCCTCCATATAGTATTTAGAGGACCATTGTCCCATCCAATCCTGTATCATCTTTCTGGTTAGTCATGTGACAACAGGGGACCAAGAGTGAATTTTTCATCTATCTTACCCCATCATTTCAGTATTAACCACTTTGCTATCAACACCCTAAATAAGTCACCACATACTGCCCATTATGTTGTTTTTTTTTTAAGATTTTTTTTTTCTATTCATACAATAGCTGGGGTACAGGCCAGAGGCGCAGGAGGGTGAGAGGATTCACCAGAGACAGAGTGGGGAACAAACAGAACAGGCAGACTGACCGAAAGCACTGCTGAGGGGAGCAGTGGGTGAGACAGAAGTCTGCCCCACCATGTGGGAATCTCCCTGGCCTGCCAGGAATAGAACCTGCACTGCAAGGCTGCAGACAGCTTCCCAGCACTGTGCTCAACCCACTGCGCCAATGGGGAGGCCCTGTCCATTATGTTTTGAACCCTACCTTTTCCCATTTTCATGATGTGGTCTTCTCCCTTCTATCATAATCCAGTCCTTAAACTATAGCCTCCCAGGGGCTAATAGTCTTGCCCAGATCCACTTCATGTAATACCTCCCCAGTTGTTTACATTTCCAAACTGGTCCTAAACCCATGTTTGCCCTTTGTTCTGCTCAGGCCACATTTCCATGGACTGAATCACACTGGGGAGGTTGATTGTCTGCTGCCATAGTACTTGCCATTTACTAACAGTTACTAGGAGTCTAGAACAAGAGTTTAATAAATGTTTTTCATTTCACTTTTAATCTATACATCATCCTTCAAGTAGGTACCTTTCCCTAAATATGAATGAGGACAATTTGCAAGATGAAAAAATTGGGCTATGTCTAAGAAAGAGTTCAATTAGGATCTAAATTTCACACCCAGTCTGAATCTCAAGATACTAGTATTTATACAGTTCTGTATCTTCAGTGTCTAATAGGAATCTGAATATAATTGAGCCTACTGACCACCTGTTGTGGACCTATGAGATTTCGTGTTTTAATTCCCATAAGTGAAAATCTATTTTAACCATCACCACCATTATGGAAGATGCAAATCCTAACAATCTAGACACGTTTGTCCAAAATCTTCCTAACACCACCAAACTCCCCCATTACTGTTCAATTGTTTGCTCCCCTATGCTTCCTTATAGCCTCCCCAAGAACTTCTGAAGGTTGTCTGGATTTGTTCCGTAGAAAGTCACGGTTCCCAGCCCATGTATAATCTGAGAGTACCAAGGAAACTCAACCCTCCATCATCAAATTAAACCTAGCAGTAATTTTAAGTACCATCTTAACTATTTCTTTGGTAAGAGTACTAGACTGTTTTATTCTGGCACCCAAAAAACCCCCCAAAAAAACCAAACCTACAAAATCTTGGGAAAACTATTGAAATCTGTGTTGTATACAAGTGTTAATCATCAACGTTTTGCAGGAGAAACAAACTATAGAGAACCCCGATTCTAGTGTTGTCTTTAGGATTTCCCAAATTTCTTCACTAGATACATTTCAAACCAGAAGAAAAAGTTTTTACAATGTATTCACATAGAGACCCATAAAATCCAACAATTTTGGTTTGTGACTTAAATGGTTTAGGGCTTAAGGGAGGTGAGGGGACAGGGACATGACACCTCAATTTGGATCAGTCTGTCAACTCTAGAGCCCATGGGACAACAGTTAAAGGCACATTCTCCTACTCACTATAAATTCAGAGTATGCAATACATAATAGGCCCTTCAACTGTAAGATACAAAAAAACTAGTTATAATTTCTTACTTATAAATAAAAGATCCCAGTCAGGTAGTTGTTGGCCAAGGCCTCTAAATGTTAGTAGTATTTCTCCCACACTTTTTGAGACCAAGCAAGAGTCTAAGCCCTTGTAACTCACCAGGTAGATTTCTAATGTGTGTGTGTGTGTCTGTGTGTTGGGGGAGAGGGGGGGAACCCGGACAATAAACCTACATTTAGACCAAAAGAGAAAAGCACTCGTAGCATTTAATGAACCTTCCTCCAAGTGGCTTCAAGCTACCAAGACACAGGCCCCTCCCACACCCTTAATCTTCTCCTCAGCTCTTCTACTGAAGAATTTGGCCTTGACGATCACAGGCTGCTTTGGAAGCTTTCCCTTCCCCAGAACTTTGTAGTAGCCCTAGAACAGAGAAAAGGGTTATGTCACAACAGTTATCAACCTCCTGTGGATAAGCCTATCAACCTTCCCCATCCAGGGGAAGGTCATGTTTCTGACCTGGGCACTAACAAGGGCATTGATTGCCCTTGCCAGTGAATCAAGACCAGCAGATTCTCTCCGAGAACTCTAGCACACCAGGACAAGAGATGTCAGGATGTGACTCTAGTCTCGGGCAAGAGCTCAAATCCCATTTCCCCTACTTAGTTACCTTCTGATAAGCAAAGAAAAGGAAAGAAAGAAAGAGAGAGAGAGAGAGAGAGAGAGAGAGAGAGAGAGAGAGAGGGAAAGAAAGAGAAAGAGAGAGAGAGAGAGAGAAAGGAAAGGAAGGAAAGAAAGAAAAGGAAGGAAGGAAGAAAAGGGAGGGAGGGAGGGGAGGGGAGGGGAGGCAGGGAAGGGAAGGGGAGGGGAGGGGAGGGGAGGGGAAAAGGAAAGGAAGGGAAGGAAGCAAAGAAAGGAAGGGAGGGAAGGAAGGGAGGAAAGGAAGGAAGGAAAGAAAGGAAAGCAAGAAAGCAAGCAAAGAAAGGAAGCAAAGGAAGGAAGGAAGGAAGGAAGGAAGGAAGGAAGGAAGGGAAGGAAGGAAAGAAAGAAAAGGACGGAAGGAAGAAAAGGACGGAGGGGAGGGGAGGGAAGGGGAGGGGAGGGGAGGGGAGGGGAGGGAGAAAATCAGATCCCCAGCAATGTCCCAAAATTGCTCAAGGAATGCTAAGCTGGCTGGGGAAGGGGATTTAAAAACGGACTACATCCATACTCATGGGAGGTAAAGGCTGATGCAAGAAACTCAATTTCAAGTAAGACACTATTCTTTTTTGGGGTTACTGGCATGTACAGTATTATTCTTCAAGTATTTTTCCTTGAATCATAATCCAATCATGCAACCCGTGTGCCTCCCCCTGCCCCAATTCTACCAAAAGGTGCAACTGCCTACTAGGTAAATAGGTATAGATGTAAGGTGGGAGATCTGGCGATTTAGTTTTGAGAAGCGAGAACCTCTATAAAAGAAAAACTCAAATTTACTCACCGCTCGCACCACATCAATGATGGGAGCAGCTCCGGTCTTATTTTTGGCAGCATTTACCCGAGTCTGCTCAGTGACCAAGGTCCACAGTTTATCAAGGTTGACAGTTGGGCAGAAGCTCTGATTCCTCTTTAAGTGGTAATGCCTCATACCAACTTTCCCAAAGTAACCTGGGTGACTGGGAAGAGAAGGCACCACTTTCATAATAATCTCACTCCAATCAACCTACACTGATTATAGTCTATCGCTGGCATTAACACAAGATATTCATTGGTACAGGCACTCCATTTGTCGAGTAAAACAAATCTTTTAAAAAGCCACCAATGACTATCAAATTCTACACAGTCCTATAACAGTGTCCTACACAATAGTTAAAAGACCATCTCCTAAATTTGTGAACATCAGTGAACCTAACACTTGCATAGGTCAATCACAATCATGTCACCAACCTGGTGACTGACTATACCACAAGGGCTACAGTCAGTGAATAAGGTCAGCAGTTATTCTTCGAGGGCTCTAGCACACTAAGGCAATAGGTGATACCCAAGCGTGACTCTAGCCTCGACAACTTCTCAGTTTACATTAGTGAGTCAGCAATAGGCAAGGTTTGTGAATGGTAGATGTGCATCTCTTAGAGGATGTTCTGAGTCGGCCCTCTGTCCCTGTTCACAGCCATCAGTGTAAATAAAAAGTAGTCCAAAAAGCACTCACTATTTGTCAAAGTTGATCCTGTGATGATGCAGGCCACCAGCATTACCTCGGCCTCCAGGGTGCTTCCGGTGCTTTCCTGCAGAAACAGAGCTACATGGTTAACACAGCCTTCTCGATACTACTTCTTGCATAAGCATTTACTTAAGCTATTCCCTGTCAACAATACCTCTTTCTAGCATTGCTAGTCCCCGAAGAATCGGTTAAACAGCTCTCTGCAGTGTTCCACATTACAGTACAATCATGCACTCTCCAGGCACTGTGCCGGCCTTCGCCCGCCCCCCACCGCCCAACTGATGTGAAATTCTAATTGGAGCCCTCGATGACTCTCAATAAACAGTCAAAAGTAGACGGTCAAATTGAATCCGAGTGAACCGCACAAAGCCTTTCCTAAGCCTCTTCTAAAATACATACTTTCTGACCAGCTAAGCACGCGGCCGACCACGACGGGCAGCCTGCACTTACCGATGCGGCCGTGGCCGTGGCTCACGTGGCCCCGAAGTTTCCGGGTCTTCCTCAGTCTGGATGGCTGCGTGGAAAAGGGTGCTTGGTGAAAAAGCGCAAGGGCAGCTGGGCAGGCGGCGAAGCTTGCCAGCCGGTGGGAGACCTGAAGACTGAGCCAAGGATCCGCCCGGTGGCGCAAAGCTGGGGCCGAGCAGCCTCATCAGGGCGGGACCCGGGCGCCCCGGTCCGCGTGGCCCAAAAGATCCGAACCGCGGGCCGAACACGCGATCCCCTCCCCGCCCTGGGTGCATGCCGCCGCTCCTCCTTGCGGCCAGTCGCACGCGATCTGGAGACCCGGCCACGGTCGGGGTACAGAGCTGGGCTGCAACGCGAGTAGAGGCCCCCAAAGAATCACCTACCATGTTGGCGGCGCAGACGAAAGAGGGAGGACTCGCGAGACTCTCGCGAGATCCCGAGGGCGGAGGCGGAGCCAAGGCCTCACTTCCGGTCGGGAGGCCGGGCCTGGGGCGGAGCCTCTCCCGTTCCGCCAGTCGGGCCGGCGGTCGGCCTACCGCTTCCCCTGCCTGCGGGTTGGGCCCTGCCGGCGTGTGTGGCGACTGAGGGCTCTTCTTGGCGCGTTCCGTCTTGTGGCCAAGCTCGGAGGCTTGGAGCGCTGTTGTGCGCGCCGCCAGGCCCAGGTGGGCCGGGTCCCTTTCCTCTCCGAGGCCCAGGGCCCCGCCGAGGCCGCCGCCGCTCTCAGCTAGTCAGACGCCCGGCCTGAGCGACCCCGCGCGCCCCGCTGCGTTCTCAGTGGTCCGCTTGGCCCTGGCGGTGGCGTCACTGACTGCGCCGGCCAGGGTGGCCAGTGTGGGGCCGCGGGGCGCTCGGCCACCCTCCCCGTGCCCGCTGGGGTCACTGTTTCCTTTTGAGGCGGAGCTGCTCGCCCACTGTCTCTTCTTTGCCCGCCTGCTGCCTTCCGAGGGGTCCTCAGTTTGACCTGGTAATCGTCGGGATCTACAAACCTGGCGACTTTATGGTTCTTTTGTATCTAGGTCCTGTAAATTCTGGAACCGCCACATTTTAATTTTCGCCTGAACCTGGTATCCCTTACCTCCTGCACCGGAGAACCCCTGCTCAGCCCGGGCCCCATGCAGGCTTCTCCTGGGAAACTTCTGATCCCTTCAGTCTTCTTTGCTCACTCCCCTAATTTGGGCCGCCACAGAATGCAGCGCACAGCTCTATTATAATTGTTGATCCACACTGATCTTCCCCACTAAACCGAATGACAGGCTCGAGGACTTTTTTTTTTTTTAAATCCACGCAGTCCCAGTTCCTGGCATGTACTATATATTCAACAAATGACTGTTTGAAGGCACCTACTCAGCTCACTCTAATCATAATAGTGTGAGGCATCTTCCTGTTAAGTCGCCACCAGTGTTCACTGTCTCAACCATCGTTCCAGCCCCCAGGCCTTCATTTACTCCGTGTATGTTTTATTTTCTCTGCCTTACTCCCGCTAAAATATCTTTTGGCTAGAAAATCTTCAATTCTCTCTGTCTCTTTCTACTATCCTGGCTCTTTCCTCAGTAGTCTAGCTTCCCAAAGGACTGGTCTACAAATCCTGTCCATTTGCTCCCTTCTCATTTGTTGCTGAATCTTCTGCAATCTAGCTTTCAGCCCTGCCACTTCAATGTAATTGCTCTTAACCGCGGTCATCAGTGAAGCAGATAGCAACTTTGAACTTCCCATTCCTCATAGTGCTTGTTCTCTTTGTTGTATTTTACACCCTTTGAATTTTTTTTTCCCCCAGAGAACTCTTGGTTTCCTCCTACCTTTTTGGCCACTTCTAATTCTTTTCAGGTTCTTCTGATTTTGTCCACCATTTAAAAGTGTTCTTCAGTCTCTTGTCCCTGCTCCTCTTAATTTTTCATGGTATATTATCTTCTTGGGTGAAATTCTCTTGATTGGCTTCAGTTCACATCTCTACTGAGCTCTACACACAATCACTTAATTTCCATTTACTATCTCAGACTTTCTACAGACAAAATGGATAAACATATCCTAAGACCTCAAGCTTCCCTGCTTACTGGTGCTTTCTCTTTTATTCTATATCTTAGAGAGTGGTACCATTATCTATCTGGATAGTGACGTCAGGAAGATCTGAAAATCAACCCTAAATCTTCTTTTTCTCTAGTACACTATCACTTTATCCTTTTGTTCTATATCTGTCTCTCAGAACTGTTTCCTATTTTTAAGCCCTAGTGTTGTTGCTTTCCTTTAGTCCTTCACCTGCGAAATTCAACACGCTGTTTGCATTCTAACACTCTTTCAATTCCTCCATCCTTTATAGCTTTGCCAGGTTAACCTTCCCAAAATTTGACTTTCATTCTTCCACCATCCAAAAAGCTCAGTAGCTCCATATTGCCAACAGAATACAGTACACTTACCTCTCCATCCTTACCTCAACTTGTCGCCTACAAAAGCTTTCTACGGCAGCCAAATTTAGTACAGCCCTTTTGCATTTTTGCCTGGACTTGTACCATTTCACTTGCCTGTAAGGCCCAACCTCTTTCTGCCCAGATCCTGAATCTTTCTTGATCTTTAAAGATCCACTTTATAGTCTGCTTCCTAGAACACCACAGTCCACATGATTATAGCCAAATACACCTTGAAGTTTACAAAATGTATCTGCTTGAGAAGTCAACACTACCAACCCTGCTTTATGAATGAGAAAATTGAGGCACAGAAAGTTGACTGACTTGACATTGGCTACAGAACTGCTAAGATACAGAGCCTGGGCCTAGTCTTGAGTCTTCTGTCTCCACATCCCTTCTTTTACCTCAGTGACTACTCCCTCTCTGACCTCACAGCATTATGGTCTTCATCACTTCTTCAGTCCTTAACCACCTACTGCCTGTCATCAGCAGAAACAGGGCCTTGTGAGTAGGGAACAAGGTCTAAGAAGAAGTACTCATCTATTTGACATCAAAACTGGCCAGCATGTGTAAAGGGATGAGCTGAACTACCTGGAAACAATCCTTGGGAAGATGTTCTATAATGAAGGTAAGCTGAGCAGAGTTTTGGGAATGGAAGCTAACCCTCAGGTGTCCTCTAAATATGGCCTGTAGCAAGGACCAAGTCTGTCCAGAGGGTAAGGTATGGTTCTGGGTGATGGGACATTGTTCTGGATCATTTTGCCACTTTCCTTGCTAAGAGGGGTTCTACTTCCTGCCCCTCAGGCCACATGGCTGAATGGGAGGTCTCCCTGAGTGGACCAGTACTCTGTATTGGGTTCTGTGATTATCTAACATTCTTCTCATTGGTGGTCTGATCTCCAGGGTGGAGGGAGTGCTCTAGGCAGTTGTCTGGTTCTAGTTTTCTTTTATTCAGGTGCTTCTCCTCCCTAAGGCAGTTGTATGACTTCAGCATAAGGGGCATGTCAGGTTGATCAGGGTGGGTCAGTTACCCTAGGTCAACCAGCTCAGAGAGAGCACACAAAGCTGAGTTCTGTATCAGCAGAGTTAAATAACAGCCAGACATTAAGTGACTTCCTGCCAGGCACACAGGACATGGCTTTGGGCATGATCCCTAAGAGACCACCTTCTCTGTGACATCCCTTCTGAAGTAAACCATAGCCTTGTGACATCTCAGGAGCTGGGTTTCCTGAGTCAGGTCCTCAGAGATACCTGTGAAATGAGCAGAAGTAGGGTGATGCCAAGCAGTAGCCTGGTGAGGCAGGTAAATATGATGCTGACTTTTTTTGCTACCCCAAACCTTGCTCCACGGGGCCACCCTGAAGAGGGCCCTCATTGCCTCGCTTTCTTCCTTTCCTCTCTGGGTTCCTGAGTCCCTCTGCAGTCCTTGAGACAGCCACACAGTATGGCTGACCCAGCTTTGTTTTCTTGCTGAGCATCTTTAACTTTGGACGTTTGGAAATATGCTGCTTTCCTTTTTCAAGTAGAGGATAGTTAATTTAAGATGGAAAGAGCTGGCATTTCTGTTTTTTCCTAAGTGAAAATTAAAAGAAAACTCAGAAATTCAAGTTTATTTCAGAAAGAATTAAAAAATATATAGGTAATAGAAAAGATGTACAATAGTAAAGAACTTTTGAAAAACTATAAGAACAAACATCTCAAATCATAACACCCTACAATACTAATTTCATTTCTGAATATCACCTTTCAGTCCTTGTCTACATGGAGACATAGCCGTCTGCAAAACTGATCTTAGTATGCAAATCCTTTTATATTCTGCTTTTCATTTGATACCATGACATTTTTCTATACCCAGTCTTCATGATTGTTATTTTTAACAGTTGAAGAGAAATTTATCTTCCGCTTCTACTGTAATTTACTAAGTCATTTTCTTGTATATTTTGTTTTCATCTTTTTATTCTTACTAGGTTCTTTGCTATTAGACATAGTGATGCAGTGAAGAATTGTGTATGGGTATGTAGTTTTTTTTCTTCTTCTGTTGTATAATTTGTCTAGGATCAATTCCCAGGAGTGAAATTGCTGGAGTATAGGGTATGAACATTTTTATAATTCATTTTATATTGCTATATATTTTTTCAAATGCATTGCACTACTCTATGCACCAGCAGCATGTATAGTTTCCAACTGTATTTCAGCTTCACTAGGCTCTGGGTTTTTTTTTGTTCTTGTTTGTTTTTTGTGGCCATAAGTCATCTAGAGATAAGATCCCTAGGACCACAGAGTTTTCTTCAGCAAAAACAATATAACTTGAGGTTTAGGAATTTCTAGCAGTCTTTCCTTTCTCTGTTGAAAAGATTTTTAAAAATCTCATTGTACTGCCTAGCAGGTATATTCCTAGAGACTCAGTTGGAAGTTTGGATGGAAAACCTGATGTCGTTAAACTCAGAACAGCAAAATGTAAAAAGAGGAATTCTAGGATCTTTGAGGGCAGTTTACCCTATAGAGCAAAAATGAGAGGTGACTGTCTTAGGTATTTGTCTAGACAGAAATAATAAGTTTTAGTATAAGGTTTAGTTTTTTATCCATTAACCTTGAAGGCTACCATCTAGCTGAGTCCCGTAGGAGCCAGTAGTCCATGGGAAAAGAATACACTGATTGTTTCTGCTTTGCACATGACGATGTAATTTCTCTGCTTGCTAAAAATGAATAAATAAAGACCTGTTGAGTCCCTCGGCAGAAGATACTTGCACCTCAAAAAAAAAAATCCTTATGTTTTAATTTAACTTCAGATGATAAAATTAGCGAAGAGAACAACACACCCTTGGGTTCATGTGCTACTTCAATTTTTTTTTACTGGCTGAATGATATTGAAAAAATAACCCAGGTTCTTTCAATCTTCCTTCTTTGGTCTGTGTAATGAAGAAATAAGATTCATTCGTTCATTTTACAAATCTTTATAAAGACATAGTCCTGTCCTAGGACTGTGTCTAAAACAGAGAGTAAACAACTAAAAAATAATTTATCCCCTTTAACAGAGTCTAGCAGAGATTGGGTGATCTCTCATTAGCTCCCTAAATTAATCTCTAAATTGAGTACTATTTCGATGATAACTTGTTATGTGTTGTCTGTGGGGAGAGTCTTTGAAAGTTTTGCTCCCCATGTGGCATGGAATGACTTGTTCTGTCATTACTTGGCGAGGCTAAAAAGTCCCTGTATTTTCTTTCTTTGAGACTTAGATGTGAAATGTCAAAAAGTGGTCATTTCTGCTTTTCATCATAGACATTCTTAAGTGAAACTGACTTTTGTTTCCTTCTTTTTTCTTTCCAAGTCTTTTCTTTCTGCAGTTAATGTCTAGCATTGAAAAATATAATAACTTGCACCCTCAGTGTTACACACCATTGCTTTGGCATCATCGGTGCAAATGACAAGCCAGTGGAAAGGGTGAAGAACATCTTTTTATTATGAAAATTATTTTGACCTTGTAGACCCCCTAAAAGGACCTCACACTTCACACAATCCTGGGAATTCAGATTGGCTTCCTAATACTAGTGGGAGAGAATTCACTACACAGGGTAAGAATATAAATAAATATTTCATTTCTGACTTAGAAAACAACTGAAATAGGGCCTCCCTGGTGGCGCAGGCAACTGAGCACAGTGCTGTGAAGCTGTCCGCAGCCTCTGCAGTGCAGGTTAGATCCCGCCCAGCAGGGGAGATACCCACATGGCATGGCAGACCTCTCCTGCCTCGCCCGCTATTCCCCTCAGCAATGTATTTCAGTTAGTCTGCTTGTTCTGTTTCTGGCTCTGTCTCTGTTGAATCCTCTTACCCTCCTGCACATCTGGCCTGTACCGGGTTCTTGTACGCATGAATAAATAAATCTTTAAAAAAAAAAAAAACAACTGACATATCTCTACAAGGGTCAAAGGTTAAATCAAAGGCACAGCTAAGCAATGAGTCTCTGATCTGAGGATACAGGGGGAAAGTCAAATACCCCTATTCTATTCCCTCCCTCCTGTTGCTTGTCATGATAACTTAGCTCTTGCCTCTCCATATGATCTCCCTTTCCTGGGAAAGTGGAGAGGGCTGAATTTAGCAGGATGTTCTTTAGCCAAAGGTAGCAAGCTCAAATACTTACGGTAGCCTAGTTTTTTTTGTAAAACTCCATTTTTACTTGAAAGGATAACTGACAGACAAACTGTGGTTAGCCAGAGTTCAGAATTTGGCAGATATTTTCTCAAAAATGAAATGAGCCTGTCACTTCAAGGGAAAAACTGATGATTTGTTGCCAATGGTAACTTTTTAGCTTAAGTAAAAATTAGAATTCTGGTAAAGTTATGGCTGCCTCCCTGAGTTTGACAACTTACAAATAGTTAAAAGACTTTTCTGATGAGATTAGGGGTGACTTTAAAGAATATGATTTTTTTTTATTATGTAATGAAATGCATCCATCACTATTTAAAATATTACAAAAGTCATTGAACCAGTATTTTCCAAATGACCAATGGTTGGTGTTATAACATTATGCCTAGATAAAAGAGCAGTTCAAAGTAAAAAACAGAGCAGTGGGTTGTAATGTATCGGGGTAGGGAAAGTTCATTGATATAATTTCAGATTCCACATTACAACTACTCTTTAAGAAACTATAATTTTGAAATTATCAAAGAAAAATTTCCATAATTATCTGATAAGGTGATTAAAATATTCCTGTCTTTTCCAAGTGTATAGCTATGTGAGGCTGGATTTTCTTTGATACTTTAAAACAGACAACATATAGCAAATTATTTGCAGAAGTAGGTATGGGAGCTCAGGTATCTTCAATTAAGCCAGACGTTAATGGAGTTAATTTCTTCCTAGAGAAGTATGTTATTTATGTTGACATGTATTAGCTTTGTCATTTTTTAAAATGAATTAATATTTTAAAATTATCTGTTTTAATTTGTAAGATGGTACATAGCAGTACATATCACACATACAAACAAAATTTCTTTGGAGTGCTCAGTGATTAAAAAATATAATGAGGTTCCAAGACCAAAAAGTTAGATGTTCTTGAAGTCTGATGAAATAAAGTCAGCCACAGTTAAATTTTGTAATAGAGACTATCTTCACTTTTATGGAGGTTGTTATGATATCTGCTCTCTGGGAAATAACTGCCCATAGAGCCCCAGGATGAGATAGAGGTAAAAAGTTCATCTGTTATTTTGTTTAGTGTTATTTGCTGGACCCCTAAGCCCAGCTTTTACTAGCCCCATCACCATTCCTTTTGAGTGGGGTTGGTTCCCAAAGACTTTGAATTGATATAAAAGTTCTTTCAAATTTGCATAATTACAGGACACCAGATTTGAATTGAGATTTTCATTTTGTTTCTTAAATAAGTAAAAATATAATGCTTAGATATAGTCCTTTTGCTCTTATGGGTACAAAATCAAATGCAATTTATAAATTAAAACAACTACAAAATCAAAATCAGCAAATTAATAATATTTCATGTGCAGATGACATGTTGTTAAACTATTTGCATGATGGCTTAAATGTGGTGCTCTTTGTTGTGGCTGAATTTGACAAATTTAAGCCACAATGATGATGGACCAATTTCTCCACCTCCTCCATTTACTCCAAGTGTTGTGAAATACTCACAATCATGTGCCAAAATGGCCTTTAGACATCATGTGGTGAGAATGTATCATTTACATGCTAAGTCTGTCCCTTTTTCTTCTCATTAGCCTGAGATACAGCTTGATTTGAACTAGATCCTATGCTTATTAAACTGCCTCTAAAATATTATGGTGAATATAATACAGACTATTAATACTATAAAAAAAACTCTTATCAGAGTGACACACTAATAAAAAAAAATTATTGGGAGAGGACTCATGAAAATATGTGTGTGGACCACAGACTGAGAAACATTTCAGTGACTATGGAATCTGAACTCAGATTGACCTGGATTTGAATTCAAGCTCTGCAATTACCATCTGTCTTTGTACAATTACCCAGCCTCTCTGAGCCTCAGTTACTAGGCCTGTTCCTCAAGGTTTTGTTTAATTTACATAAGTATCATATTTCCTGTCTTCAAGGGTGATTTGTGATGACTGAATAAAGAATACGAAGCACTTGGCATATGTGTTTTTAATAAACCCCTGTCCTTTGCTAAAAGAAAATCTTGGATCAAACTTTTCCACTAATAAAGAGAAACCCAGATAGTCGGGGACACTATTGAAGGCAAATAAACCCAGTAAGAAACATACAACCTAGCTGATGCCTCCAGGCTTCATTTTTCACAGCAGAGATACTGGACTCTCGTGGGCCTCAGTGAAAGGGGTGAGGCTGTGTCCTGCTGCTGGACGTGAGCCATCGGTTCTGGAGAGAGAAAATGGTCTAGAGTTTTGAGGCCTTGGTCTCTGAGTCTTCTCTGGCCTGTCCAGGAACTTCCCTCCCTCCCAAAGAAGTGAATCACTCTGCTTTGTGCTTCATTTGCAGGGGATGGAGCTAGCTCGCTCTACACGCTGCTTCACACCTGAGGATATCTGTGGAAAAGCCCTGGTCCTGAGCCCGGCCCCAGCACCGGGTAGAGGCATGAATATGGGCGTGAGCTTGATGGGGCTGCCACCAGTTGGCCAGAAACACTGCCCTAGAAGTGGACAGATGAAAGCTGTGGTACTGACCTGCTCATTGTGCCGAAAGGACCTGCAAAACTTGGGTGCTTGGCTCCTCCCCTGCCAGCATTTGCTCTGTAAGAACTGTTTCCAGGGCTTGAGCCAGGAGCTCAGGCAGGGTGCCAGGGCTCATGGGACTGCCCCTAATGGTGAGTAGAAGAGCACCACAGGATCACCTCCTCCTACATACAGGTCTTTTCCCGTTTCCTAGTAACTGAATTTCAGGTGTAGAAAGAATCAGAATTTAAATGCCTGAGGGACACTCCATTGTTGAAAGCAACTCTTTGGGGAATCTGTGAGACAAAGCAAATCCTCTTGATGCCTAATATATCTGTTTTGTAAACTGGAATGTTTCATGTTGGGATTTCCGTAAATTGGTGGCAGGCTAGGAAACTTGGGAAGGTTTTGATTCAAGGTTTGACTGATTCCCCAGATGGAGAAGGTGTTCATACAACTTCCGAGGTGGGCAGAAAATAGCTGGGCTCCTAGGGTTGGTCAGGAATGGATAGATTATGAACAGAATCACACTGATTATTCAACCATACACATCTAAAGTGGTGCTCAGCAGAGAGGAGCCTGTGTATTGCTCCTGAATGTCAGGTTTCCTAGGAAACAATCTTATTGAGAACTGTGAAGTCCTTGGAGACAGGAACCATGTTCCTTCATTTCAGTGGTCTAGCAAAGGGCTTGTAACAGAGGGGCAGTGAGTATCTATCAAATGAACTTGTAGCCTGAGAAAGTCAAATAAATTGGCAGCATTTAGAAATATTGCTTTTGTTTTGTTCTTTGCAGTATTTTCAAAGTGATTTGTAGTGCAGGTCTAGGCTCTCTTTGAGGCACTGTGGCTAAGAGTGGGCTTTAGAACTGCATTTTGAGCTAACACTTGGGCAAGTTACCTAGCCCCTCTGAGTCTCTTTTGAGAGTTTGGAGCACAGAAAAGAGATGGTCTAGTTTGATTTTTAAAATTAATATCTGAATTTTAAATGTAGCTTAAACTTGATTCTTCCTTAAGCTTTTCATTGGAATTTACAAATCTTATTCTATTTATAAATCCAGCATCTATTAAAAGATCTTTCGTTAATATTTGAACATATTTATAAACTTAGTTAATATTCACTTTTATAAATTAAATGTATTTTTTTTGAGTAGTCAGTTGCCTAGCAAATAAGAATTTAAAGAACTTAAAGTTAACTCTCGAAAATATAATAACTTAAATTTTTAAGTATTGTAAATCTTAAAACATGTCTTGAAAGTTCTAGCACTATTGAATTAATATCCAGAATATATAAAGAACTCCCACAATGCAAACAATACAAAATAAACAACCCAATTAAAAGTGGACAAAGGACTTGAATACACATTTCTCTAAACAAGATACAAAATGGACAAGAAGCACATGAAAATATGTTCAATATCATTAACTATCAGGAAATACACATTAAACCCACAATGAGATACCACCTCATATCACACACCTATTAAAAATCAACAACACAGAAAGTATCAACTGTTGGTAAGGATGTGGTGAAGAAATCATGGTCCTTGTACACTATTGGTAGAACTATAAAATGGTGTAGTCACTGGAAATCAGTGTGGTAGCTCTTGAAAATTCAATTGCTTTATCATCCAACAATTCCACTTCTGGGAGTTAGTAGCATTATTTTCAATAACCTAAAGGTGGAATCAACACAAGTGTCCCTCAACAAGTGAATGGATAAACAAAATGCAGTATATACATACAATTGAGTGTTACTTAGCCTTAATAAGGAAATCCTGGCATCTGCTACAATATGAATAAATCTTGAGAATATAATACTAAATGAAATAAGCCAGTCACAAAAAAACAAATACTCTATGATTCCACTTACGTGAATTACCCGGAGTGGTCAAATTCATAGAGATAGAAAGTAGAATGGGGGGCCTCCCTGGTGGCGCAAGGGGTTAAGCATAGCACTATGAAGCAATCCGCAGCCTCTGCAGTATGAGTTCCATCCCCAGCTGGCCAGGGAGCAACTCACATGGTGCAGCAGACCTCTCTTGTCTCACCCGCTGCTCCCCTCAGCAGTGTGTTTCAGTTAGTCTGCCTGTTCTGTTCCTCACTCTGTCTCTGGTGAATGCTCTCACCCCCCACCCCAACCATGCCCCTGCCCTGTACCCCAGCTCTTGTATGCATAAATAAATACATATTTAAAAAAAAAAAAGAAAGTAGAATGGTTGTTGTTAAGGAGTTGAAGGGAAGGAGGACTGGGGATTTGTGTTTAATGTTCTAAAGTATCAGTTTTGCACATTTTTAGTCAGGTTATTTTTGGGTTTTTTTGGTAGAAGTGCTTTATATATTTTGGATACTAGATGCATATCAGATATATAATTTGGAAATATTTTCTCCTAATCTTTAAATTGCATTTTCATTCTGTTGGGAGGCTTCTTTTATGCAAAAGAATTTTAAATTTTGATAAGTCCAGCTTTTTTTTTCTTTTGGTATAACATTTGGTATCTTTGCTTCTACCTTTTGGTTATTACAAATAGTGCTGCTATGTACATATGCTGCTGGGTGTACAAATATCTGTTTGAATCCTTGCTTTCAATTCTTTTGGGTGTATACTTAGAAGTGGTATTGCTCGATCATATGGCAATTGTATTCTTAATTTCCTGAAAAACTGCTATCCTGATTTCCACAGTGGTTACACTTTTTTTTTTTTTAAAAAGATTTATTTATTTATGCATAAAAGAGCTGAGGTATAGGCCAGAGGTGTGGGAGGTGGGGTGAGAGGATTCACCAGAGACAGTGGGGAACAGAACAGGCGGATTGACAGAAGTACACTGCTGAGGGGAGCAGCGGGAGAGTCAGGAGAGGTCTGCTGCACCATGTGGGTGCTCCCTGGCCGGTCAGGGGATCAAACTTGTGCTGCAGAGGTTGTGGACAGCTTTATAGGTTGCATCTTAACCCCTTGTGCCACCAGGGAGGCCCTATTTTGTTTTTTAAAGATTTATTTTATTTATACAAGAGCTGGGGTACATGTCAGAGGCGTGGGAGGGTGAGATAATTCACCAGGACAGAGCGGGGAACAGAATAGGTAGACCGACTGAAATACACTGCAGAGGGGAGCAACAGGCAAGGCAGGAGAGGTCTGCCGTGCCTTGTGGGCATCTCCCTGACTAGCTGGGAATTGAACCGGCACTGCAGAGGCTGCAGACAGCTTCACAGCGCTGTGCTCAATCTGCTCCGCCACCGGGGAGGCCCCAGTGGCTACACTATTTTATATTCCCACCAATAGTGCACAAGGATTCCAATATTAGCATCTTTGGAAAATCCATTGTCATGAAGCTTTCCCCTTAAGCTTTCTTCTAAGAGTTTTATAGTTAGGTCTTTATCTCACTTAAGATTTTAAACATGAATTAATTTAACCATGCCTCAAGACTTGCTTGACTCTAGAGTCAGAAAACAAAATTCATGCTAATGACAATTAGAATCAGTGTTTGTTGCCAAGTTATTCTGAGTATGAGAAAGGATGAAAACATGTGCTTTGGTATAAATATACCTGGGCATCTAAGTATGTGTCCTCATCTGCCTGCTCTTACTAATGGTATACATTTAGCAAAGGAGAAGCAGAATAAAAAAGCAAAAATTGAATATCTGTACTCAAATAATGTTATTTACACTTGAGCCTCTAATTAAAATATTATAAAAGTGAGAGGCAACTGCAAAGTATGAGAAATTGAATAAGGATTTGGTTTTGTTTACCAAAATTCAAACACACACAGAGACAATAATTGTGTAGCTTGGGCAAGTTTACAGATATTTTTTGCCTATAAAATGGGCATGATGATAATAGTGATTAATTCATAGAACTGTTATAAAAATTACATGAAAGCATGCATACACAGAGAAAGTGAATCAGGTGGAACACAGTTGTGTAAGCATATTCCCAGTAACCACCAGGACCTAATTTATTTTAGAGGGGCCACTTATAAGTATAATTCATTCAAGTCAAAAATGGGTTAACAGTGTTAACAGTGGTGACTTTAATCACTAAAAAGAGGATTAAAGCTATTCTCCTTGATGCTGAATTTCTTGAATATTTCTGATTTTAACTTGGAGTTAACAATGAGTTTCATATTAAACTCAGTTTTATTTTGACTTTACTTGTCTGAGCCCACATTTGAAAAAGTAAGCATTTCAAACACACACACACACTCACACACACGCACGTGCACATGCACACACACACACACAGAGACAGAGAGAGAGAGAGAGAATATTGTTTAGATATAGCTTGCGAAGTTTACAGACATTAATTGCCTGTAAAATGGAAATGATGATAGTAGTGATTAACTTACAGGATTGTTATGAAAATTAGATGAAAGCATACACAAAGAAGCATTTTGTATTATAGCCAAGAGATTAAGAAATATGGAAAAATATTATTTTAGAACTCATCAAATTGAGTTCTAAATCAAACAAAAATCTGTTTATTTTTTTTTTTTGAAGGCAAAACATGTTTGATTTGGAAGGCAGCTATGCTCATCACTGTACCACCAACACCTCTCAAATATTTTTGATTTGGAACCTAAGAGGCAATTTCTTGAAAAGGTGGCATCGTATTCTTTAGGTGTGTCTGAAGATTTGGCTAGGTCATTGTTATCTTCCACATTTGCGTTTATGGATGAAGACTGCAGTAAATTTCCTCTACTACTCAGAGATGATGTGTGGTACTTGTTGGTTTGTGTGACTGAGCCTTCACAGATACTTACTGACTATTTAGGATGCAGGGATGGAAAGACAGGGCCCTTGCTTTTGAGGAACTCATATCTGGTTGAAAGACAGGTCAATAAATATATCATAAAAGTACAGAATAGTAAGGAGACAAAGAGAAGATGGTTTAAAATTTGGATGAAGGATCAATAGCTCTGGAAAGTTTCTCCATGTACCCAGACTGGTGGATATTACCTGCTCACGGAAGGTTTTATGAAGGACTATAAGAAGGGCCCCAAAATGAGTTGTCTGCTGAAAAGTAGAGCTGTCACTTATCTCTGAAGTATCTAGTGAGTTTCCCAATACCTGAACTTAGATTTCTGGTCTATACTTTGAGAAGTGATGCTTTAGGAGTATGGTTCTTCAGGATGAGCTTTTTGCACTGCTACTTTATCC